AAAGTCATCATTTTGTAAGTTCTATGGTCGATACAGTGACCTTGTCAGCAAATACAATTTATCATTGAGTTAAATGCTGACTGACGTTTTTCATACCAATGGTTAGTCCATCATTTATACACTGAATTGACGACGAATTTTTTCCGTTATTTCATGATCATGACAAAGAGCACACGGCGGGTGTGACCGGTCGGCAGGGGATGCTCACTCCTAAATGGCACCTGATCCCACCTCTGATGTTTCGGGGGGTCCGTGTTTGCTCTGCTTTAATTTTGTATTGTTTTATGGACTTTGCGATTGAATACTGTTCGTTATCTGCATATCCATCCCCTTGCTATCTTGATCTCAATCAAAATTTAACTTACAAGTAAGTCTAACTTAATTTTTTAACTCTTTTTAACCATACAAAGGGAATCACGTGAGATTTTAAAGCCTTGATGTGTCAAATTGACTTAATGTTAATTGAACCAGAACCTATCAAACTTCCTCTTACAGCATTCAAATTACCTTAAAATATGAAAACCAGTAATCCAGGTGTAATTCATTTATTACACTAGATGCTGTCATGAGACAGTAATACCCGCACTAAGGTGTTTGCCTCTAAATACACACTCCTTCATATTGGACTTTCCAAGGAAAATGTCAAAATAATTCTATAATTATCTCCGTACATGTATTCGTCAAATTGAGCATAAAATTTTAAGGTGACCATATGATCTATGAGCCTCATAGATGTATTTTGTATACTTAATACATTACCAGTCTGAAATAACAGAATTTAATTAATAAAGTAAATTACTTAATTAGATTCTGATAAATATTTTGCCCATAATTTGGAACTTTTTAGATTTACTTTCTCAACCACATAAAATATTATTTTAGGAAAAAACCCCATTGAAAATACAGCCCAATTAATTTGTCAATGCCTATCCCCCCCCTTCACCATCACACACACACACTCTCTCTCTCACACACATTTTTTAGAATAGACCTAGATGGCATAGTTACGTTAAAACATCGTTTATTATTAAAATACACTATTACAGGCGTAGATCCAGATTGATTTGTTTTTCGGAAGGGGGGGGGGGGATATATCACACCTCAGTCCAAAAAAAATCCAGCCCAAGATTTCCTGAGAGTCAAATAAAAAATAATAATAATGTTTTCAAACGGGGAGGATGTCCAAAGTCATTTTTATTCTCTTCAGTAAGTAGTCTTATTTAAATAACTGCAAATTCAAAGGGGGGGGGGTGTCTGATCTCCCTAGCCACTGACTCCCTGTAACCTGAAATGACAATTGATCTTATGGGTCCATGATAGTAGAAAATTTTTCCATTTGACTATATATACATATTTTGTTTCCTGTGTTTATGTCTGTTTGTCTGTCCACAGAAACTTTAACCTTGCCCATATTTTAGTTTTAAGTGGATTGGGCTTTACACATGGCTTCCACATTTCATAGGTAAATTTCTTTTGGCAAAACTTTTTAATGGATACCACCAATTTTGACCTTTTGATCTCTTGACCTTGGAGTTTGACCCACTTTTACAAGAAAAAATACCTTAAACTTGGCCTAATTTAAGTTTTGAACAGTTTGTGCTAGGACTTTCATGCTTAACATGTGTAATCATTGTGAACTTTCAACAGATATAAATATTTTTGAACCTGACCTTAGAGTTGAACCCAATTTAACTTTAACCTTGGCAATAGCTTTTGAACAGGTGAGGAAGTACTAGGGATTTCTCTCTTATTCCACATGTGTATTCCTTGTGACAAGACTTTCCCTTTGATACCAACAATTTTGACCCTTTAAGCTTGACCTTGGAGTTTGACTTACAGTTGAGAAACTTCAACCTTTGCCAAAAGCTGCCATAACAGTTGCTGTCACAACAAACAAACAAATTACTAAAAAAAACACAGTATACATGTACATATTTTATATTCAACAGATATCTCTAGTTCTCCCTTGAATCAGACATGGTGATATAAATATTTTAAAATTATTATTATAAGAGTTGAAAAGGTTGTGCATATTAAAATATACTAAGCTCTGCGGATGAATTAGATATACCAGTTTAGCTTTATTTTGCTACCGAAGCACCTTGATTAACTATTTACAAGCATACTGTTTTCTGAAATGTTCTGTTTTCTGTCATCCATCTGTTTGTCTGCAAACTTTTCACATTTTTAACTTCTTAAGAACCAATTTCAACCAATTTACTTGTGAATATGCAGGGGACTTTTTCCAACATAAATCTTCTTCTCAAGAACAGCAAGGACATTTATTGTCCCCCATTTTCGCTAAAGGTAGGGGACATTAAATCTCATTTGTTTGTCAGTCTGTCCATCTGTCACAATAAATTTAAACGTGGTCATCATGGTCATATATTTTGAATGAGAAGAGACAGAACTTTTATATTAAACATGTGTAATAGTATTTAACTTGGACAATACCATTCTAAATACACTATGATTTTTATTACCCATGACCTTGAAGTTTGACATACTGTCATAAACAAATTAATTGTTTTAAATTGATCATTTTGAAAGATAAATAAAGGGCATTCATATTGTACATGCATGTATATTACCTGTGGTAAGACCTTTCCAAATATATCATGACTTTTTGACTTTGTGACCTTGACCTTGAAGTTTAACTTACTTTTCAAAAATGTTGTATTTCCTTTTGATTGAGAAGAGATACGACTTTCACATTTCAAGTGTACATTACCCATAACAAGATGTTTCCCAACATGCTATCATTTTTTACGCCTTGACCTTGATGTTTTACGAAAATTTCAAAAGAGTGAACTCTCCCAAAAGAGGATTAGGCCACTGTTTAAAATGAAATAGGAGTTCAGGGAAGACGGGGCTTTTTGCATAAAAAACGTCATTTTTCGACCCCCATTTGACACCCCGAGGCAAAATCGAAATTCCGAAACCTTACTACACATCTACATCTACATTAGAAAAACCTAGTTTACGAAGGTCTAAGTATACAGGTTTCATAAGCTTAGTAAATTTTTCTGGGCTACATGCTTGTCCCATAACAAGGCAAGTGTACTGAAACACTTCTTCTTCCAAAATAAATCAAATTAATGTACTTCATTCATCTGCCAAAGGAACAGAATAATATGCATCTTTTAAATCAACAGAAGCCATAAAACATCCCTGTTTCATTAAATTAACAGCTGACTGCAAACTTTCCATTTTAAAATAATTTATAAGAATGGTCCTTTTTCAGTCCAATAAATATATGATATGATTACATCTGATGAACAATGTTTGCATTTCTCAATAATATTCTTGTTCAATAATTTCTCTACTTTAGTAGAAAAAAAATTAACTCCTTTGTCATTAAACTTTATGGTATATAATGGCCTTAGTTAATTTAAATTAGCTTAATCTATTATTTCAATGTGACATCCTTCTACAGATTCTAATATGAATTATTCTGATGTAATTTCTTTCCTAGCTGCAGATCTGTACATGTAGCTCTCCGTAAAATATATATTGATAGACCGGAGAGCTACAGTGTCACCCATTGAAAAAACTGTGTATTTATTGCGCACTAACAAGTGCGCTCGATTCCTGATTAATTTTTTCCAAATTCTTACCTCAATTGCAAAAAATGAAAGATTTCAAAAATTACTCCCTCCTCTATCAAGTTCTCTCGTAGATAACATCTGAACGAAGCATATTGGACCGAATTATCTTTGAAACCAAAATGGCAGTTTAAATAAGCGAAATGTGCGATGATCGCAATATCAGGGCCAGGAGGACTATAATTAACAACAATTATGTGGAATGTTTTGTTGTGGAAAGATTCAAAGAATATGTTAGGAACACACGGTTAGTAATATTTTGAGATTACAGCTTTAAAAACATAGAGAAATAAATCGAGAACCCAGCGCATTTTTTGTGCGCAATAAATATACAGTTTTTTCAATGGGTGGCTCTGTAGCTCCCCGGTCTATCAATATTTTTTTCGGAGAGCTACAGATCTGCAGCTATTTCTTTCCATTCTTTTAAAATTTGTTTCAGTCTACCAGCTCTGAAATTTTCTGGTAATAAAACATCAATTGTCTCTCTTTGAAACTTGACTTTAGTAGTTCTTACCTCATTGAACTTGTCAGTATTCACTCTTGTTTGAAGGTCTTTTTTTTCCTTTCGAGAACTCCTTGTTGTAATCTCCTTTTATGAGAGCCTGGCCCCAAAAAAGCGCATTTCTACCTCAGTCTGTAATTGCCTTGAAACCCTTGTCGGGAAGGTGTCTTCCCACTTAGCCAAAATTCTGAAATTGATACAGGTGACTGGTTTTGGCTAAGTGGGAATGGTGTTCAGGTAAGGGCAGGTAGAGAACAAAAGAAATTAATTACAGGTGTCCTATAGTCTGTTTTAGAATGACCAGTGCTATGACTTATTTTAAATTCTTTATTTATTATATTTGATCCTTGTTAAAAATTAATTAAAATGTCTTTTGTAAATTCTTGATGACATTTTTTTTAAATATTTTTTTTATTCTAAACTTGTTTTTTTTTTCAAATATTTTTTTTTAAATTCTAATTTTTAATTACATGTTTTGTTGTTGTTGTTTTTTTTTTTTTTTAAATTCATATATTTTTTAAATTTTCTTTTATTGATTCAACTACATTAATACATAAAGAAGCATATTTTATTTTCAAGATATTTATTTTAATTCTTTTTCTTTTTCATATCACAAATGAAAAAAACACAAAATATCACACTGACACTTTAAATTAAGTTAAGTTAAATTAAGTTACATTAACAGGCATGCAAAAGTAGCCATTCTTACATAAATATACTTGTAATCATTTTGATAAATAATGGTTATATCAAATATTTCATACATAAAAATATCATAAGAGTCATTATCATAATATTCAAGTAACTAATACATTTATGGCAAGAATAGCACAATTATCAACATGTAGAGTACAATACAGTCATAAACACAGTCATAAACATTCAAACACACATCACTCCAAATGCAGTAGATGAGAGGCAGCATCTGCGTAGTCCATTATCTGGATATCTCCTCGGCGTAGTCTGTCCTTCAGGTCCTGGATGTGCCGGTCCAATTGTCGATATTTCCTTTTCTTGGGACGTACAACACCACCAGCAGCAAGCTGAATCATCTTGGCTTCATTGGCTGCCTGCTCCTTCTGAATTAATTGTACAAACATGAACAAATTTGGATGGGGGGGCCGACACATCCGGTTGAACTTGTGGTGCCATCCTTCCACTGCATTTGTTGTCCTTGGTCCTTCATTGTCATAATGGTTCCAATTCATCAGATGGCCCTCAACCCAAGTCTCGGTCACATAGTCTTTGAAACGTCCGACATCTTGGTTATCGTCTTCGTTGTCCTCTAGTGCCTCAAACCACACGTCTTCCACTCGCTGTTCTGGAACCAAGGGAAGAACAGCCGCTCTCCTTACCAGGCGATGAAAGTCTTCATCCTCCCGGAATTGTGTCGTCAATCCACATGATTGGACTTTCCTCCATATGCACTGGGTATAATGGAAAAAACATCCCTTGATAGATGTCCTAGGGAAGTTTCCATGAACTGCATTCCTTGCGGCGATTTCGAAGTCCAGTAACCAATTTTCGGGAGTTAACACAGACTGCCGGTCACTAACTGCATCCTTCAGAAGCACTAAGAAACGGTTGTAAGTGGCCTCACTCTTGTTGGGTAGAAGTCCAAATACGAGGGGAAACATAGTTCCGTTCACATTGGCGTGCAGTGTGTAGAGTTGTGTGAAGAATCTGGTGCAGGAATAAAATGTCCCATCACTGAAAACGGTGTCCGCTGCACACAAGTGCTGTAAGTTGGAGTCTGTAGAAAATATCAGGATTCGGTGTCCTTGGGCATCAGTGTCGTCACAGAGAAGGAACCTTTCTCCAGCTGAAGTACAGGTCCATGGTCCATTGAGGTTAACTTCCTCCTGCGAAGTTTTTGTTTATTTATATAAATATATAATTTATTTAATATTTACTTATTTATTTTATTTTATTAATTTAAGTTTTTGTAATATATATATATATATATATATATATATATATATATATATATATATATATATATATATATATATATATATATATATATATATATAGAGTAAGTAAATAGGTAAATGTATACATCTCAGGTGAAAATTACAGGTAAATTATAGGTAATCAGTCTAAAACAGACTATACACAGGTGACCACTCAGGTGTGAAAATAACAATTTTGGCTAAGTGGGAATAGGAATTTCAGAATTTTGGCTAAGTGGGAATAAACCGTCGGGAATACGGTTGAAAACATCGACCTCTGTTTTTCTGGTAACTTCCTCTTTGCTTTGCAGCTTTGCTAGTCATGACTTTGTTGACTGATTTGTTGGTCTTTTCAATATCATCCAGTCTCTTGCCCAGTTCTCCACCAAACAAATATTTGTTTATCGGTACTCCCGAAGAGAAAAGAGACAAGTTGTTACTAGTAACACTATGTCACCTTTCAAACATTCTCTTTTCCTCATATTAAGTTCATAATGCGAAAAACTGTGTCTAAAATTGCAGACAACCCATTTTGTAGTGAGGGAATAATGACTACTGATATTTTTGTGAATACGCCCCAGGACAATGAACCAGGCCTGTCAGTGAATGATCGAGAATTCCTAAAAATTATGGACAATAAATGTTACAGAGAGGAAAACGGAAACTGGACTGCTCCGCTTCCATTTAAGTAGAGAAAAACTTCCGAATAATCGTGAACAAGCCATGAAAAGAACTTTGTCGTTTCTAGTTTCTTGTAAAAGGAACAAGTTGAAATTTGAACACGCAATCTCGATAATGGATAAAGTGATTTCTAAAGAATATGCAGAAGCACCAGAGCCTAAGGACGGGGAAGAGTGTTGGTTCCTACCGATCCTCTTACAACAGGATATATAGATTTTCCTCATGGGCATCTTTAGTCAGAACAATTACAGAGCAGATTCATACTGGAGACACCCTGTCTAATGAACATGACACAATCATTATTCAAGAAAAAACTTACCTAGCTCGTCTTCTTGTTCTACATTGTCAGGAAGTTGTGAAACACTAGGGAAGGCATTTAACTAAGGAAGCTGTCCGCACGTCTGGATATTGGGTGATTGGTGGAAAGAGATTAATATCTTCAGTCATTTATTCCTGTGTTACCTGCAGAAAACTGGAGCATCAGAAGATGGGAAATCTTCTGGAATTCCGCACAAAACGTCACCTTTTTTTCCTATGTGGGAGTGGACGCATTCGGACCTTGGAAGATTATTACGCGCAAAACCAGAGGTTGCTAACAGCAAACGCTGGGCTATCTTATTCACCTGTCTGACAAGTCTAGCAGTACATGTACAGCTAGTGGAAGATATGTCATCACCTACGTTTATCAACGCTCTCAGAGGTTTCATAGCCATACGAGAAAAGTTTACAGAATTTCGTTCGGATTAGGGTACAAACTTTGTCGGCAGCACAGAGGCACTAGGAATCACTGCAGTTAGCATAGAAATTTCGCCAGTGAAGAAGTTTTTTTTACAGACAGTGGATGTTCTTGGATCATCAACCCTACCCACTTATCCCATATGAGAGGGATGTGGGAGAGGATGATTGGCATTGCTCGACGAATCTTGGATTCTATGCTTTTAAAGGAAACAAAGAAAAACCTTACGCATGATGTATTAAATACCCTCATGACAGAAGTTACTGCAATTATAAACAGTCGTCCAATAGTACCTGTGTCAACCAATCCATCTCAACCCTCTGTACTACTGTATACAGGGAAATGTTCGCCCCCTTTTATTTTCGCACCTTCGCCCTCACCTCATTTGGGCGAATTTAAAACGGGGCGAATTCAAAGAATACAGTATAATTTCTTACTCAAAACTATGACTGGGCGAATTTGAAACGGGGCAAATTTGTTTGTTAGTAAGAAAGGGCGAAAATAACCTTGTATACAGTATCTCCATACACCTTGTTAACGCAGAAGACAGAACTAGACGTTAAACTACTTTAACCATTTGATAAGAAGGATATATACAAGTCCCATTGGAAATACATACAAAGTTTAGCCGACCAGTTCTGGAGGAGGTGGCGCTCACAGTACCTCCAGTTGTTGCAGTCAAGACGCAAGTGGAAGGACCCTCAAAACAATCTTACTGAAGGTGTTGTACTTCTGAAACATAAAGACTCAGTAATGAATGGCTGATGGGTATTGTTGTCCGTGTCTTTCCAGGCGAAGATGGAAATGTGCGTAAAATCGAACTACGTGTAGTGGAAAATCATTGTGTCGTCAACTACTTCAGACCCGTAACAGAAGTGGTTTTGCTATTTTCACCGTAGAAAATGTTTGCTATGTTGGACATCACAGGCGGGGAGTGTGTCGTTACACGGCTTATATGAATATATGTTCGCAGACTATTTTTTGTTTTCCGTTTTTGACTGTGTGAAATGTTTTAGTTTACCGTATATATCAGAGTACTACCAACTTGTGTTATTCAGTGTTTCTCGTGCATTTAAGAAAACCAGCGCCTCTGCCGCACCACCGTTCTATAGCGAGCGCAGGATCGCCGCGAGGTGACGCTCGTAAATGCGAGCTCTAACGACAACGCCTGGGCGAAGAGAAAATTCGGACTACTGCACATTCATTCCATAGAATTTTTTCCGCAGTAATTTTGACCCACAATGCATCGCTTTGTACACAAACGCTAAAGCCACGTTCTAGCGAGATTAACGACAAAAGTTAAGAGAAAAAGAAGCTTGCCTTGATTTTATTAATTTATATCTGTTTATTGCAGAGAAAAGTCATAAAATGATTGAAATTAGCTCTGTTCGGTTTGGTAAAGCATCATACAAACGACGTCATGTGACGTCAGAGTTTTTATACGCAAAGAATTTCACGTGCAGTTTGACGAGTCCGATCTAAATGAAAACTGGATAATAATCTGCGCTCGCCCTAACGGTCGCACCAACAACATATTATGAATTCAGTTATCAAATGTATGTTTGTTTAAATTTAACTTTCAACTTGCAAAATTCAGCGTCTATGTCAGTGATGTGTATTCAGTTTTGTTTTGTCCTCTTCATTTTGTAGCCTTAACCGTAATATCAACTTTATGTCATCTGAATAAAATCTGAAATAATAATTGAGGCATCATACAAATCACTAACCTCATTTCGTGGGGACGTGATATTCGTAGCTGTACTACTACTAGCACGTGGCGTGTCCTGCTTTTCCTGTGCGCAGGCAGAATTTTTTGTGACAGTTCCCGCACGTATACGGTCAAAAACATTTTTATTTCAAATGTTATTCAGTGGAATTTTAGTTGGCACTGATATTGTCTCATGATCTGTACTTTTCCCCCGATCTGTCAATTTTTTCAACATGGCGGATGCCATGATATTGATCAGACCACGTGTATGATAACTATCCAAAAAAAAAAAATTAAACATGGAATCTGTCTTCGACAGATCAAGGTACTTCACCAAAAGTTATTGGTCTGCGAGAAATATGGTGAAAAATACGAACTCTTTTTTATAATGCACCGTTCACAAAGGTAATGAGCTCTTAAATTTTTGCGCCCTATCACTTCTAGCAAAAGCAACGCACTGGCCCTATTACGCAGACGTAATGCTACCTCACGTGATTCCCTTGGTATGATGACGTAATAGAATACTACTGTTGACAGCATGTGTTACTTTCTTTGCAAATGAATACATGAGGATCGGGTCAGAATGATCGGTCACTCTTGGTTGCTTATCTAGAGCATCTCAAAACACTCCATTCGGAATTTCATGGAAACTACATACGTTTACAATGACAAAAAACTTTAATATTCATTGAAACAAAACAGAAATAAATATATGAAACAAAATGCACATTTGGTTTGTCCATGATACACCTATATCTTAATTTATTGTTATGAAGACCCATCATACCCGCATTGGCACATTGTAAGCCTGAAAGCTTTGTTTAATGTCTTTTCTCCTCCTGCCTCAATACACTATTCTTAAAATAACGAGATATCATGGTGTAA